CGTCCGGGATTGACTCCGAGCTGATTGGTCACAGCCAGTGTACTGTGCACTAGTAAATAAAGGGTGACTTGGTGACGGGATACCAGCCTCTGTGCAGTTATTTCAAAATATAATGTCTCCAACTTTGCAGATGACTCGAAGCCGGCTGGGTGGGAGAATGAACTGAGGTTGCGGAGAAGCTTCTGTATGATTTGAACATGTTGAGTGAGTGGACGTGTGCGTGGCTAATGAGGATAAATATGAGCTTATCTACTTTGGTAACAAAAACAGAAAGACAGATGATTACCTGAATGGCAAAAGGTTGGAAAAGGGGGAGGTGCAGTGAGACCTGGGTGACCTTGTACACAAGTCACTGAAAGTAGGTAATGTAGATGCAGCAGGCTGTGAAAATAGCGAATGATATGTTGGCCTTTATAGGGAGAGAATTTGAGTACAGAACAGGGATGTCATGCTGCAGTTGCACAGAACCTTGGTGAGACCACGTCTGGCAAATTGTGTGTAGATTTAGTCTCCATATCCTAGAAGGCTGTTCCGATTATAGAGGGCATGCAATGAAGATTTCCTGGATTGATTCCTAGGCTGGCGGGACTATCCTATGAAGAGAGACTGGAGTGGTGAGGACTATATTCAGTGGAGTTTAAAAGAATGAGGGGATTCTAATAGAAACCAAGAAAATTGTAATAAGTTTGTACAGGTTAAATGATGGGTGTTCCCAATGACCGGGGAGTCCAGAACCGGGTTCACAGTATAAGGTTACAGGGTAGGCCTTTAAGGGCTGAGGTGAGAAATGTCTTCACCTAGAGAGTGCTGAGCCTGTGGAATTCTCTGCCACAAAGCAGTAGAGGCCAAAATATTGAATATTTTCGTGAAGGGGTTAGATGTAGTTCAGAGAGCTAAAGGGACCGAGGTGTAGGGAGAAAGCAGGAACACAGTACTGAATTGGATGATCAGCCATGATCATATTGAATAGTGGAGCAGACTCAAAGTATCAAAAGGCCTACAGCTGGTCCTTCTTTCTGTGCTTCTAGCTCTACTCATCATAAATTTTAAAATTATATTAATTGAGTTATCATTATCTCGATGAGGAAATTATCTAAAAACCAAAGTGAAATCAAAATACAGCAATAAAACAGACCTATACTTCAAAATCCACTTTTAACAAATCTAGTCTGAACGTGAAAATATAGTCTATTTTATGCAGCAATGTGAGAATCAAAAATTTTAATTAGTCTTTCAATATTTAACTGAAGGTTTATGCAGTGTAATTGATATCTGTCCATTTAGTACATTGCAGTGCCAAATATGAGATTTAGAATAAACACACGGTCTTAGAGAAACTCAGCAGATCAGGTAGCATCTGTGGAGAAGAAACAGAGTTAATGTTTTGATTTCAGCATGACTTTTCCTCTCTTCTGAGGGTGAGTCGCATTGGACTCAACATTAATTCTTTTTCTTTGTGTTTCCAAAGATGCTACCAGACTAACATTGAAAGACTGCTTAAATCAAGTACTGATTTCTGTACCTGTGAAAGCAGCAACAGTCTAATTTAGGAACGTAACATGTGATCCTATTGCTTGAGCTGTCCAATCTCTTTAACTCAGCTTAATGGAATTTTTGTTTAGCTTGATTTGAAAAAAAACTTTCATCATCGTTTGGATGTTTATTTCAGTCAGTTACCAGGAGGGGGCAGTTGTTCCCCATGGTATAATGGGCTGTGGCGCACTTTGTTAATGTTAATGTCCGTGTGGGAAGATTGTATGGCTCAAAGCTATAGATCATGACTATGTACTGAATTGCCTATCAACCCCCTCTGTTCTTTTGCTTGGTGTGCAGTTAGAGACTCAGGACAGTGGTTTGCTGGTAATTTGCTGAACTTAAATTAAAACAACCATCCTCTGTACTGCAGCATTTTCTTGTGTGGTTCAGTAATCTATGTAACTTGCTACTCCCACAATTTGGGATCATAATTTATTGCACAGCAAAGCAGGCAGAAGCACCATTTGTTCTCTTCTGAAGCACGAGACAAAATAAGGAATAAAAATAATGTGAAGAGGAGATTGGCTTCTCTGGAACCTGGTGAAGCTGAGCTGAGAGCTTCAGATTCAGGGATAAATATTGGCTGGGACATGGGAGAACTCCCTGCCTTGGCTGTTGGATCACTTATCTCCACTTGAGAGAGAAAGAAAGATAGTTTAAGGTCTCATCTACAAAATGACATGACTAAGTATGCAGCGTTCCCTTTTACTTCATTGGAGGTGCCAGATTTTTAAATTATTCTATGGAGTGACTAGTTGAGTCCATACACTTCTGACATGGAGCAGCAGTGCTAACCAATCAGTCAGGGTGAACACCTTAAGTACAGTATAATATTCCAGTCAGTCAGTGTTTTTGTTTTTGGCAGCTTTACTATTTTTGCAGCAAAAATTTTTTGTGAAAGCTAGTTCAGAAGAATAATTATCGTTATTGAATTTGTCAGTTTGATGTGATCATTGAACTTTTTAAGATATCTGGCATGGTCCCATAGTGATGCAAAGTACTGTATTCACACCTAAGAAATTTTGACCTGTGCACACCTGTCTCAGTTACATGAAGTGCACTCAGTCAGGGTGATCCGTCCTTGTTCTGGTGTTAGGAGCCTTAGTGCGACTTTCTCCTCACGTGTTTTAATGTGGCAGAGTTCCAGATAAGCTAGTACAGAAACATTTCAGAACCATCTGAATACCACAGTGAGTTGCCCTACCATCGTGCAGGGCCAGCTTCTGTAAAAGCAGCAGGAAATCAGTTTATCATTTTCTTCTTTTTGTGCTGGCTTTGAAAATGTGTTCTATATCATTGCTAAACAGCCTGGCACTAGATGAGAAGTTTTAAAATAGTTCATATTTGGCACTGCAATGTACTAAATAGACAGATATCAATTACACTGCATAAAGCTTCAGTTAAATATTGAAAAATTAATTAAAATATTTGATTCTCACATTACTGCATAAAATAGATTATATTTTCACGTTCAGACTAGATTTGTTAAAAGTGGATTTTGAAGTATAGGTCTGTTTTAATTACATTGCAAGTAGGTGCAGGAGTAAACCACATGGCCCTTAAGCCTGCTCTACCATTCAGCACAATCATGGCTGGTTCTCAGCATCAACTCCACATTCTTCCCATATCCCTAGATTCCCCAGATATTGCAACCCTATGTACATTCAGAAATTTGGAATCCATTCCCTCTGGGGTAGAGAATTTCAAAGATTAACGACTCTGACTGAAGAAATAGTTCCCCAGCTCAGTCCTAAATGATCAGCCTCTTATTCAGAGGCTGTGACCCCATGTTCTAGATTCCCAGCCCCTGTTTCAGTGAGATCACCTCTCATTCTTCTGAACTCCTGAGAGTATGAACACAATTTACACAGCCCCCTCATTTTAGGGCAGTCCCTGGCCACGGGAACCAATCTAACTGCACCACATCCAGTGCAAAGTGGAGAGACAAGTCCAAAGGTTTTTTGGATAGTAATAGTGTGCAGGAATATGGGAAAAGGCAGGAGATTGGCCCTAGATAGTATAACCGGTCTAGCTAATAGATCTGGTGGAGGCAAGTAGGCCTTCACATAGTGGTTGAATGAGCAAATTGACTATCACTAGCAATAGGCTCTGAGATATCACACTAATTGGTTGTGGAGAAAGGGCACTGGTTGCTTGAATGATTTTCACCTCATTAGTAAATGTTTAGAGAAATTGGATGCATATAAAAGTGTATGGAGTTTAATCTCTGTGAATAACTGGAAAATTAGTCAGAACTCAAATTTGAGATAGTAAGAACTGCCAATGCTGGAGTCAGAGTTAACACAGTGTGGAGCTGGAGCAACACAGCAGGCCAGGCAGCATCAGAGGAGCAGGTGAAATCGACATTTCGGGTCGGGACCCTTCTTCAGAAAGGGTCTAGGCCCGAAACGTCAGCCTTCCTGCTCCTCTTATGCTGCTTGGCCTGCTGTGTTCATCCAGCTCTACACCATGTTATCTCAGATTCTCCAGCATCTGCAGTTCCTACGATCTCCGACCTGAAACGTCAGCTTTCCTGCTAATCTGATACTGCCTGGCTTGCTGTGTTCCTCCAGCTCCACACTGTTATCTGAGAAATCAAATTAGTTTCTTTTGTACAATTGACAAGAACCCAAGTTTAGAAAATGCAGTTAGAGATTGCAGTTTTCCAAGTCACTTGTTTCAGACAGCACAGGAAACTATCCTTTTGTAGAATTGAGGAAGAAAGCCAAAGAACAGTCTAGTGGACAGTGGTTGTATGGAATCATTGTAACTTCCAGCACATGAGACCATTTAGCCTGCTGTCCCTTTATTCGCCCTTTCTCCCAGAAGCTGCATTTAGTTCTGTTATTCGGTAAGTTCTTCACTCTCGGGACTCTGTCCAGCTGCCTTTGAAAATGATTTATGGAATCAGTTTTCACACCCTTTCAAGTCGAGTATTCCAGATTCTGGCAAATCCAAGTGAAAATATTCTCATCTCCTATTTAGATATTTTGCAGATGATTTGAATCTATGACTTCTGATTACTGATCCATTTGCCAGATGGAAAATGTTTCTCTTCTTTGTCAAAATACTTATCTTAAGAGAAATCACTTGAAGTCCTGAAGTTGAATTGAACGCAGTTGCTTACAATTCAGTCGCAGTTGATTTGTGCTTTTTTTTGTTCTTTTCTTGGCTTTTACAGGCCTTTAATTTAATGACCAAGATTGAAATGCAATTTCTGAACAGTGAATTTGGAACCTCATGTAGGATACATATGCTCCTTTTATTAATTCATGGATACCTTAAAGGCAACCGGTGTTGAGTCCAGTGCAGTTCCTTGCCAAAGCCAGATGGCATGGAGTGTAAGAGAAACACCAAGCCCTGCTCTGAATTCAAGCCACCAACAATGCTTCATTACCATAAGCAAATGTTACTGTGCCGATCGAAAATGCTAATATTGCTGTTGTCTGTCACTCCTATTGTAGGCAATGGGTGTAGAGAGCGATCAAGAGATTGTACAGATGATTGGTACAGAGGACCCAGTGATGTCTGCCTTTGCTCCAAGCCTGGAAGAGTGTCAGAAAGCTCAAATCTTCACCCAGATGCAGGTGTGCCTTTTATAAAGTCCAGCTCTTTCAATGTGGATGTTTGACTGCAGCCTCATGAGCTTGGCCATATAATCAGCTGTTTAAACACAGAGGGGAAAAGAAAACAATTCCTGGACCTTAATAAAGTCTTAAGGCAAGAGTGCCTGGTTCTTGATATTTAGTCTTTAGATATTTTAACAACAATTTAACAAAAGCGAGCAAAGCCAATACCAGAATCATATAGTGTGTTGCAACTCTACAGTGCAACACTGACCTTACGCTATAGTATTCTTACAATATGTACGATGAGAGCTTAATAGTAAAATTCAATAAACAGAAGAAGTGATGTGTTTGCTATTAATTGAAGTATTAAGGGATCAACATTTTTTGTTATTCGAGCAGTGACTGTGAAATATGACTTCATTCAGCGTAGCTCAACTATTTTTCTTTTTCTGTTTTGACTTGCAGGCATTGAAGTACATTGGGAACAAAGTGCGCAGACAGAGAATGTGGGGAGGACCAAAAAAAACCAAGATGGAGGAGGCCCGGGAGTTGCTTGCATCGACTGTACTTACCCACGTGCCTGTAAGCATCATTTGAGGCTAGAGCTGGTTCCTTTTTTGTTATTGGCTTGTGGGAATAGGTGACTTTGGTTGTCTGGTGTTTATTGCCTGTCCCGAGTTGCCGTTGAGAAAGTGGTGCTGAACTGCCTTCTTGAACTGCTGCATTCTCACAATGCCCTTGGGGAATTCCAAGATTTTAATCCAGTGACAATATCCCAGGCTGTTGAGGGAGGCAAGGGAGGAGATACCAGGAGCCAGGGCTCCTGATAATTTTGAAATCTTCTTTGACCACAGGCGAGGTGCTAAAGGACAAGAGGACTGTGAACATCGTCCTATTATTTTAAGAAAAGGTAGGGACAGATTGATCTGTAATTTCCTAGTCTATAAGTCTAACCTCAGTGGGTAAGTTAGTATAAAGAATTTTGAGAGATAGAGTATATCTGCGCTTGGAGAGATGTGGAATTTTCAGGGATGTTCAACATGGAGAAAATCAAAAATTGCTGGAAGAACTCAGCAGGTCAGGTGGCATCTGTGCAGAGAAAGCAGCGTTAACATTTTGGGTCCAGTGACCCTTCTTCAGATGAATTTTTGAGTTGCTGAATTTTTCCGACTTTTTCTGATTTCCAGCATCTGCCGTTCTTTGGGTTTTTAAAAAAGTATTCAGCATTTATTTGTTAAGGGAAGGTTGTGTTTGACACATTTGATCAATTTTTTTGAGGACGTAACTAGGAGTGTTGAAGAGGATAGCACATTTGATGTGGTCTGCGCAGTCTTCAGCAAGGTTTTGATAAGGTCTGTCATGGGAGACTGGTCAAGAAATTAATAGTCCATGGGTTTCAAGGCAAAGAGCCATAATGGATACAAAATTGACTGAGATGCAGAAAGCAGAGGGTGACGGGAGAGGAATCTTTCTGTGACTCGAAGTTTATTTCCAGTGGGTTTTTGCGGAGTTTGGCGCTGGGGCTGCTGTTTGTGATCTCGATTAATGTTTTGGTCTTAAATGTAGGGGACATGAATAGAAGTTCATGGATAACACTAAATTGGTAGGGTAATAAGGATTGTAGCTGTAAACCATGGGAAGATATCAGTGGATTGGTCAGGTGGACAAAGCAGTGGCAAATGGAATTCAGTCCTGAAAAATGAGAGTTAAATCACTTGGGGGAGGCTCGCAAATCAAGGGATTTTGTTGTGAATGGTAGGACCAAGATTAGTAGTGAAGATCTGAGGGAATTTGGTGTACCACATCCTACTAAAGAATAAATTTAGAAAATTACACGCTTGGGGCTGCTTCATGCAAGATAGTTAATCAGAGCGGGCTGAAGGCCAAGCTTAACACCATGTCACAGTGGAAAGGAAAACCACATGGGGCCATGTCCTAGATCTGATGATGGGTGCTTCTGCCCTACTGCTTTAGTCATTTATTAATTCAGAATTCCCCTCTCCCCATAGAAAATCCAGACTGCAGCTTGCACTCAGTTCTCTGAAAGGGTTATTCATAGACTAGTACAGCATAGACAGGAGGCTATTCAGCCCAACGTACTGAAAACAATCGGACTACACTATTCACATTTCCAGCACTTAGCCCATAGCTTTAGAAATTTAAGTAACGCAAGTGAATATCTAATGACTGCTTTTAACGTAACAAGAGTTTCTGACTTAACCATTCATTCAAGCAGTAAATTCCAGACTTCCAGCACACTCTGTGTGAAAACATTTCTTGACTCACTTTGGCTTCTACCTCTTGCCTTAAATCTCTGCCATAAGACCATGAGAAATGGGAGCAGAATTAGGCCTTTTGACCCATCAAGTCTGCTACGCCATTTGATTTTGGCAGATATATTTCTCAACCCCATTCTTCTGCCTTCTCCTAGTAATCCTTGATCCCCTTACTAATTAAGAACTTATCTATCTCTGTCTTCAAGACATTCAGTGATTTGGTTTTCGCAGTCTTCTGCGACATTGAATTCCACAGATTCACCACCCTCTGACTGAAGAAATTCCTTCTCATCTCAGTTCTAAAGAACCTTCACTCTGAGGCTGTGCCGTTCAGTCCTAGTCTGTCATACTAGTGGAAACATCTTCTCCACGTCCACTCTATCAATATTCTGTAAGTTTCATGGAGATCCTCCCTCATCCTTTTAAACTCCAGCGTCCTCAACTACTCCTGATATGACAAGCCCTTCATTCTTGAGATCATTCTTGTAAACTTCCAGTTTTATCAGTGATAAACTCAACATTGTAACCCTGCACTTCCCCTTGAATTAGGCTTGCTAGGCCATTTCAGAGGGCACTTAAGACTCAAACACACATTGCTATGGGTCAGGAATCACATGTAGACCAGACCAGCTAAGCATGTCAGATTTCACTCCTAAACGACACGTTTGAACTAGATGGATTTTATGATGATCAATGCTATGTTTATGTTAACCATAATTGAAACTAGCTCTCAATTCCAGAAAAAATTGAATTTAAATGCCTGCCACCAATTTTCGTGGTGGTATTTGAAGTCTTGTCTTCTGAACATCAGCCTATGCCTTTGGAATACTGTTCGGTGACATTGCTGTTTTGACACTGCCTTCCCTTGGATCACTTATGTCCTGAATAAAGAGTATCAAGCATTTTGGAAAATGTAGAGTGGCTCGCTTTTTGCTGCGATTTGCATGCTTTAAGCAACACCTCTGTAATTGACTTCCATGGTGGTGATAAATTGAAAAGTCTCATAATCCTTTTGAATAATGTGGGTGTTTAGCTGGTGGCTACTGTGGCAAACCACTGAGCACATATGTTCAAACTGCAATAAAGACAAACAGTGCTGTAACTGCAGAGTAAATGGGTTCATATTTCAGATTGGAGCCCCATATTTCTCGCTTAGTTGGTGGCACGGTTGCCTCTGAGTCAGAAGGTTGGCGAATTAAATTGCATTTGAGGACTTGCGCACAGAAATCGAAGCTTGCACTCCATTGCTTGTGCTGAGGGAATGTTACAATGTAAGAGGTGCCACCTTTCCGATAAGATGTCTTCCCTCTTATGTGGATGTACAAGATCCCATGTACCATTTCAAAGAATGCCCTTGTCAATACTTATTCCTTAACCTATATCAAAAAAAAATCAGATTGCTGTCTGTGGGAGCATTTATTGTCCATCCCTAGTTACCCCAAGGGGCTTTGTTGTATCTCGAGTCACATGCAGGCCAGACCAGGTAAGGATAGCAGTTACCTCCCCTAAAGGGTATTGGTGAACTAGAGGGGTTTTTCTGACAATTGGCGATGGCTTTGTGGTCATCGTTAAACTTCTGGTTCTAGATTTTGTTTTTTGTTGAATTTATATTCTGTGGCAGGCGTCAAATCTAGTTCCCCAGAACATTACCTAGATCCCTGGATTAACTGTCCAACAATAATACCAGTAGACCATTGTCTTCCCCGTTGTCCACAATGTTTCCTACATGAGACCAGAAGCTACACTTTTAATTATAGCAATATGTAAAGTGACTTGAAATATTCAGTACTTGTGAAAGGTGCCATATAAGTGCATTTTTTTTTAATAGTTTGATGCATAAACTTTAATTAGTCCTGTCTATACATCTTTCAGACGCTTAGAGAAATCTTTCAGCAGAATAGATGAAGTTCGATGGAGATTACTTCTGAAGCATTCATTTGTTGCCTGCTGTGTTTACAGAATTTCCTGTTTTTGTTTTAGATCTCCGATGTTAATATTTTCTCTTGCTGTCTATCATTAGGATATTCTCTATAAAGTGAATTTAGATTTGAATAAAGTTTATTCCTAAGCATGTTAATATTTCAGAAACAGATGTCAAAAGCGCTTCGGATCGTTTCTTTACCATTTACTTCAATAGAAAAGCCAAATTTAGCAGTTTACAGAAACTAATTGGTGAAAATAGCATACATCTGTTTTACAGATTTAATTTGATAAAACCTTTAAGTAATATCCAAAAGAGTGTGATAATACTTTCTATCATTCAGCAGGTGTGACAGCATTATCTTAATGTCCAGCTTTTACTTCTCACTCTTGCGATGTACCTTCTGTGTGTGTGTGTGTGTGTGTGTGTGTGTGTGTGTATACACACCTATATTTTAATCTCTTACAACAGTCAGCACATATGTTCTTTTTATTTGGCATCAGTAAAACAAAGCTATTTTGATGATTCTAGTGCTGAAGCTGTTTCCTCCCACGTTGCGGACAGTTCTGTAATGAGACAAGTGTTCCTATAGTTATCCATTTTATTAACAATCAACTGCAGATTATAGTTAACCAATTAAAATGGTCCTCCACTTGGTCATTACAACATGAGTAAAGCATTAACTACTTCTAGTCCTTTTGAAATTACCTTGTGTTGTCTTAGACTTCATGAGGTCAGCAGCATCTTAGTTTGTGGATCATTTTTATCAGTGCTTCATGCTTAAATGAATGTATAGTAACATAAATTTCAGGCTGGATAAAAGACTTTTGAGTCTGTGCACCCCTTCTATTCTCAAGTATTCTCTTCAGCCCATCCAGCTGTCCAATTCTGATGGGATTCCTTTGGTAAATGTCTAATAATGCTGAAATCTCTAATAGTGATGAGTACCTGCCAAGAACAGCTGTCTGTACTACTCCTTTTCATATTTCCAGCCAAAGGGCAGCTATGATTAAAAAAAGACCATCGTGCAGGATGATAGTGCAGATCATCTACTGAGACCTTCAGCCATATATTTTATTGCTATTAGACTTGATTATTCTAATGCATTCTTCTCTACCTTATAAATGTGACTTAATCCAAAGCCCTGCTGCCCTTTTCTAACTTGCATCAAGTGCTGTTCACTATCACCTTGCTGATCTACATTGGCTCTCCCTCTGGAAATGTCTTGATTTAAGTGTTCATCTTCATGTATAAATCTCTCCATGTCCTTGCCCCTATCTTTCTCATTCTCTTCAGTCCTACAACCCTCTGAGATCTTTGCATGCATCTAATTGTGACTTCTTGTACATTCTCGACTTTTACTACTGACCCTGGTATCAATTCCTTCTCAAAACCCTTTTCCTCCTTTAACTCCCCCTTAAAATCTACCTCTTTTGGTCACCTGGACAAATACCTACTTGTGTGGCGTTGTGTCAAATTTTGTATTCAAATTCAGTTGTAAGTTTTCCCAGCATTCTGTGTTTCTTGCTATCTGATTTGTTTAGAGTAGTTGGGAGGGTTGGTAATCAGAGGACACACCTTTTAAAGCAGTTGGTAAGGGGACCAGCTTGGAGGCATGAGAGTTTCAATTTACCCTATGACCTATGTTCTGGACTGCTCTGTCTGAATGGGCAATGGAAGCAGCTTCTGTAGTTTTAAAGAGGAAATTGGTAAATGAATCAAGGAGAATGATTTCCAAGGTTGTTAGGGGGAAGAGAACTGTGGAATGGGACTAATTGGTCACTTGTTTAAAAGGCTGGCACAGACAAATGTACTAAATGGACTCCTTCATAATTCATCTTATCTGCGGTTTATGGTTCCTTGTTGACTTCAATTGAGGATGGCACTTCAAATGTTCTAAACTGTTTTGAAGCTTCTAAAGGATGCAATAAAAACAAAAACTTGTTCTTCCCCTGTAGGTCAAAGAATTCAACTTCCGTGCAAAGTGTATCTACACTGCTGTCATGGTGCGCAGGGTGATTCTAGCCCAAGGGGCTAACAAAGTTGATGACCGAGATTATTATGGCAACAAGCGTCTGGAATTGGCTGGGCAGGTGAGTTTAGTTCCTCACCTTTCTTCCCTTCCCTTTGCCTTTTCTATCAAGTAACTATTATTTTCCCATTCCTGTATGGATGGTCTTTAGTGCTATGCAACCATTTCCTTTGACTGCTATGATCTACATGATCCCAAAATCCAGGGATTCAAGAAGAGGGCAGAGCTCATGGACCTAAATGCTTTGGATGAATTGACATCCCCACTTACAACCAGACAGTATAAAAGGTAGAAGTGTCACACTTGTTCCTCATGTTGGGTTTGAGCCATGTTGAGAAAGTCGTGCGATAGCAGTTTGTTGTGCTGCATCAGCTTATACCAGGTCAGTTTTACGTTATGCCCTTGGGTTAAGATAAAGAGTAAAAATCCTGTCCTTCATTATTGGCATATTTTCTCCTATTTTTCTCAATATGCTAGTTTCAACTTCATGGGCCAAATAGCCTGTTTCCACAGTGTAAATACTATTTATCTAACAAGGCTATGAAAGAGAAAAGAGCTATTTTATTTCGCTCACTATATATATGTTCTGCATAACCATCTGGTGTGGATACGCAGTTTGAGCCTCTCTACAGAATCCAAAATCCTTTGCGACTCACCAGTGCTGCACCCCTCCCCCTCCCTGTAGACCACAATCCCAACTTTACTTTTTTTCTCTCTTCTTTTTGTTTCTCCTCCCCCACCCCAGTACACTCCAAACCTGATTTTTCACCAGTCCATTATCTGTCGACCTGCCACACTCAATCCAATTCCTATCCCTTCCTTCCTCAATATAAGCCTGCCTAACTTGCCAGGACCCCCATAGTGCGATCACAAGTTTCAGCTAAATAGAAACATTAAAAATGCAAATATTAAGGAAACAGACTTTCCTGGCTAGTTCTGTTGGGGAAAGAGCCATCACACACCTCCCTGGCAGAGGTTCAAGAGTGTACCAGTTCAAGGCCAGTCTTGGCCCCCAGTCTCTTCATCCTCAACCATGTACTGTGTATACACTAAAGAAATCAAAGCATGAGAGAAGTATGTATCGGCTATGGCTCAATGGATAGTACTGTTCCTTCTGAACTACAAAGTCCCAGGTTCAGGTCTTGGACTTAAGCACATGAAAATCAAGACTGAGATTCAGTCTGAGATTGAGGGAGCACTGCAGCTTTGGAGCTGCTGTCTTTCAGATGAGACATTAAAGTGATGCTCTATCTAAGATCCAATGGAACCACTGCGTAGGAACAGGACAGTTAGCTCTGGTATCATGACCCCAATTTCTATCTCAATCAACATCACAAAACCATGTTAACCACATTTGTAATTTTTTTAAAAAGTGGAGTACAGTGATTAAGCTGAATGTTGAGACAATCAAGTTCGATGCAGAAGGTAATGGGGTTTTACTTTTTGTTTCATCAATGAATATAAAATAGTCGCACTAAGGCTCTTCTTTGGCTGTAGTTTATCTGAATTCAGCAGATTGGCTAAATAAGAATACACAAATTAGAAGCAGGAATAGCTCGAGCCTGCTGTACTGTTTAAATAAATCATATTTGATCCGACTGTGGCCTCAACTCCACATTCCCACCTACCCCTGATAGCTTTTGACTTCAATGTTAGCTGAGAATGTATTTACCTCTGCCTTAAAAATATTCAGCGACTGCCTCCACTGCTGTCTGGGGAAGAGGTTTCCAAAGAATCACGACCTTCTCAGAAAAAAAATCTCTTGTCTCTGTCATAAAGAGGGAGACCATATGTAAAATGTGCCCCCTTGTCCTAGTGTCCGAAGATGTTTTATTCCTCTGTACACTGGTACAATTTATGATTTGTCTCTGTTTAAACTATAAATGATTTTCACTGCAACAGTTGATTTCAAACTAGCTAGGTTTGAAATTAGATTACAATCATGCAATTGGAAAATATAGAGTTTTGAGACAATACTGAATGGCCCAAAGAGGGAGGCGTTGCTTCTATATTGGGAATGTAATGGAGCAAAGGATGTTGTGTTCAAAATTATAAAGACAATGAGTTTTAATTCCAGACCACATGGGATGAAGGAAGTCAGAATCTGCGTTGGCTTGTAGATAAGAGTGGAGCAACTAACAGTGAG